TAGTGAGATTTCTTTTTTGATCTCTACCCGTGATTTTCTTTCAGATTCTAACATTATGTATTTAAGAGGGATTTCATGTTGAAGCCTGAAAAAATCTCAACTTAATGCGTAAAACCACTTTCTCAGCTTTTACTATCTCTGTTTGTTGCTGCAAATCATTAAAACATTTTCCTCCCACAAGAAAACGTCCTGGATGCCAACAAAAAGGAGGAAGCCCTCAAAAGAGGGCTGGAAGAAAGCAAAATACAAGTTTTGCAACCTTCATCTGTAAGTTTTGCGGATTTTTTCTTCTTCTCTTTTAATCTTAATCTTGTGGATTTCTCTGACTCTAGCATTTCTACTCTTAACTCTTTGCAGATCCAAAATATTGACAGTTTACTCCAACAAAACGCAGATGAAAAGAAAACAATAGAGGATATTAACAGGAGAGTGTTTCCTCTGCCTAACCGCAGTGGACCAGATATCCTGGGGATGGTGATTGAATCTTTTAAAATAATTGTTCTTTTTATTCAGGAGCCAGGTGTCTAAATCATTTGATGTTTTGGTTGCAGGTGGGCCACCTTGCTCATATTAGTAACGATAAAGCTGCTTGGGTCATCTCTTGGCACCTGTCTTCAGAAATGGACTGCGTCATTACCAAGACGACGGCAGAAGCTCAGAGGATCTTCCGTAGCGAGCATGGCAGGCAGCAGGTCATGGCCCTCGACAGCATTTATGTGCATCCAAGAAGAGAAGGGTGAATAGCCAATCTTTTCAATATGGAAAAGTATGGAATTCAATTTCCTGCAGTTCTGCATCAATATAGAAAAAATGTAACAAATTAAGGAGAATATTTGTATTTTCCAGCCTCGGTTCCCTGTCCAACTGCGTCAGTCTCTGACCATCCGTTCATTTATCCATCCAACTTCCCAATTTCATCCATATTGTCCATTCATCCAGTCACTCATCGATCCATCCATTTATCCTTTTTTGTCCACTGTCTATCTGTATGTTCAACCATCAATCTATCATTATTTAATTCATCGTGGCTTTGTCCATCATTCATTTTTTATCTGTCCCACATTTTCTCTGTCCACCCTCCTCTCTCCATCTTTCCACCTATTGCTGTTTATCTACCATTTTTTTGTCCATCAATCCCTCCATCTGTTTAACATCCTCCTGTTTATTCACCCCTTCCTTGTGTGGTCAGTTCATCTATCAGTCCATCCTGGTTTGTTGACCAATTCAAGCATCTGTTTGTCAACTTTTACATCTACTATGTAGTTTCTGAGGTTTAAAGTGTAAATCCTACATATTGTGAAAATCTCATGTGAATTCATAGTGTTTTTCTGCATTTACACTTTAAAAAGGGGTGAAAAGAGAATTGAGAACTCTAGAAAAATGTGTGTGCAGAAGTTGAGAGGTTTTTAATGGGTCCATTGGAGTTTTCCAGTTATTCCTGTCCGTTTCAGAGTCTTAGCTCCAAAGCAGATAAAAACATCTTTCACTAACATTAAAACTGAAAGCATTCAGTAGAAATTCTGTGCAAGTGGAGAAATTTGCTTTAATCATGTCATTTGGCCCTGTTAAATTTCTTGCAGACCTCTACCTCACATAAAAAATGGCCGAGAACTGTTCAGTCCAGTTGGGAATCCGCTCTATGCGAGGAACTTGCTGATTTATACCACCGAAGAGGAGAGCTGTGAGCGCGGTGAGCTGGAATATGCTGATTTCTCTTCTTTTTTATAATTGTTTTGCCCCCATGGGTTTTTACCAGGTGTTTGTAGCCTCTGTAGATTTTTATATGTTGCCAAGGTCTGATCGTCTGCTGTTACAGTAAGGTTTCCCCCCCTGAAATCCAAACTCACACACTAGCTGCATTTCCAGTACAACACGTTCGAAAGATATACAACTTTTTAGAAAATGTGCGATTTATTGAGAGCTTTGGTGGAATCTGCTGCACATTGTCCTTCTTTCATCTTATTGTTTAATTTTAATCTAAAAAGCAGTTGGGTGTTTACCTCGTATGTGAAAGTTTTCCTCACGTTTCCTTTCCAGTGTTTAAAAACATCCTTGGTAACACTATTCTGATGGATGACATAGAGTCTGCCACCAATTACAGGAAGGCGGTGAGTGAATCTCTCTGACAGATGATGGTACCATGCTAACCTCCACAGGGTTTCTTTACCCCCTAAATGACTTCCTGCTCACAGGTTATTGAGAAAGGGAACTATTGTCCCACCATATTGACCCGGGACGGGAACAGGCTCAGTGCTAGTGGCAAGTTTGGGGGCGCACAGAACAAAGCACCACATGAGGACAGAGTGAAGAGGTTTGGAGCCCCTCTACCTCAACGCTACTACGACCTGCAGAAGGAGAGAGGTGATGGATCTTACACTCCCTTCATGAACTTTTTTGTGACTGCACAGTCAGATTATGAGTATTATATTGTTGTTTTTGTTGTTGGATAGAGTTGCTCATTCAATTTCGTTCAGCTTTGGAGAAGAAAAAAGACGAGGATGATAAGCGTAATACTACGATACTGAAGCTTTCTGAAACTCGACAACAAATGGAGGAAACTAAGGCGGAGCTTGATGAGATTGAAAGGCGGCTTGGTAAGATTTTACACAAGCACTCTATAAAATGGACCATGCTTTCCACAAACGTTGTTTCCTGTCTTCATACTTAGTAGATTTTTTTTCACAACTTACTAGATATAGTATTTTACCTGAAACCCTTCTGGAACTTGCCAGATTACTTTCAGTTTTTTTATTAAACCTCAACATTTTCTTTAATAGAACTACCCAAACTCTTTCTTAAACTTAACATGTACTTTTCTAGACCAGGCTCTTTTTTTTAAACTTAGGTTCTCTACTTAAATCTAAATTTACACACAAGATACTTTCTCAAAACTCTCAATGGCCTTATCCTGTGCTAATCTGAACTTCCATACAATTTAACAGGTACTTTCTGAAACTTTTGTTTGTTTTTCTGGAATTTAGCAGGACATTTTTTTGGTATTTAAAAGGTACTTTTGGAACTTGTGTTGTAGATAAGTAAGTAGGAAAGTCAGTCCAAAGGTCCAGAAATTTAAGCTTAAAGTTAAAGTTAGTTTTATCATTTTCCCCTTGTTTGATATAGACTTTTTTTCACTGATTGTTCTGATGTTTTTTTTCTCCTGCAGCATCAGTCAGATCAGGGAAACGAGGACCTGAAGACATTTCAGACCCTTCTGGCCTCATGATAAAACGCCCAAGACGAAGAACTGGGGATTTGCCAGAGACGTTTTAGCTCAACTTGTGATTTTGTTGTTTTGCTATTTCTTTTTAATCCGTTTTGAATGTTTTAAGTTTACAACTTCTAAAGTGAATTTACTTGGAAGACGGGCACATTTCAGTGAAGTCATTGTTTCTAAAAAAAAAAAAAAAACTGTTTCCAAATTGTGTTTTTAGTTTGTGTACCATTTTTTCAAGTTGGCATTTGTTATTTAGAAGTGTAAAACCTAAATGAGCACATCTAATGCACATGTTGTTTCTTATGTTAAAATGAAGTAGTCACTGCTAATGGTGTTTTTATACACCCCAAAAATATCTGGATCTATTTTTCTGTTTGTGTAAAAGCGAGCGGTCTGTGAAAGTGAAAAATAGCTGTCAGTGTTGATGTCTCAAAAACTGAACAGCTGAGGATCCTGGATGACGAGTCGGTTTGGATGTGTGCGCTGAAGAAACAAAACATTTAAGACAAGTTTTCAAACTGCTGGTAGATGCTGCTAATTATTATTTGAGGAAACTGCTGATATAAAAACAAACACAAAATGAAATACAGTAGAGATGTCGACGTGAGCACTTTCCAAATTAATGGGATTTTGAGTTGAACTAGATTTTTAACTGCATGTACAACATTTGTTTCAGTTTTTTTTTTATTTCTAGATTTAAATAGGTCTTTAATATTTTTTTTTTCATTTTCCAGTCTTTTTCCTTTAAAGTTGTTTTTTCATCAGTTTAGAATTGATGTATTTAATTTTAAAATCTAACACAGTTAAGTCTTGAACAGTTGTTTCCAAGAGCCATCATACTCCATCCATCCATAACAAACTCTAGATTCTCATTAAAGGTGTAGCCAGCCTGTTTCTAATTTTGAGGAGCCTCCGATTATTCATATATTTTCTCTTCAGTCGTTCTTGTCTGGTTTGTGAATATTTAAAACAAGTTCTTCCATGTGGCTCACTTTGTATCACTGCTGTGGTTCTACATTCAGTGTAACAGCGAGCAGTATGAGACAAAGCAAACTCTTAACTGTTTACCAAAGAGAAACGCAGCTCCGGATACTTTGTGAATATGGGAAATTACAACACCGCAGGTGTTGCTGACATTCATGTATGAAGAAAATAAATTAAATACTTTCATTCTCTTCTGTCCCCTGCTAACAAAGATTAGAATAGTTATTTTACCAAAACATCTATGTGAATACAACTTGTATGAAATCTGAAATGTAGCCAGGAAGCTGATCAAACTTCCCATGTTTCTTTAACATGACATGATAGAAACAGACACTTCAGCCATGTAGGGCATGCTGCCCATCATGATTCCACACCCTTGGCAGCAGATACTCCACTCCTGTCATGAAATTCGAGCCAAAGAGCAAGTAAAAAAAAAAAACTCCCTGAATGCATAAAGAAAGATCAGAAAATGAAAGGCTAATCTAAAACTGAAACAAACAGAAAAGTTGTTAAAATATAAAGACATCAGAAAAACAGTTTTACTTCTTTTTTATTTTTCAAGATTAAAATTTCACATTTAGGTTCACCATCTGTTTTTTCAGTCATTTCATTTATATAATAAATAAGGTCCTTTCTGGGCACCATACATTTGGGCCATTGCTTTATTATCAAAACGGAAAAGCTTACAACCAAGTAAAATGCAAAATGGGAAGTGATAATTTTGTCAGACAAGTTAGAATTTTCTTGTTTTCAAGTTTGTCATTTCCCTGTATTAACTGAACAAACATGGTTCCCACTGATATTTAACCAGCGGTGATCTCCTTTCTATATCTTGTATGAGCCAAAGTCATTGCAGTCAGCTGAAGCTCCATGTTATTAGGAAGCACAGAAAAAAGGCGGAACCTACAGACAGCAGAAAGAAGAACTCTCTGCACAATCCAGGTGGGTGTCTCTCAGTTACAGTAGGAGTTTCTGTGTTTAGTGGGTGGATCCCAACGGCTGATGAGCTTTAACCACAATCTCTGAATCAGGAAATGGGCATTTCATAATGGAGAGACTCTATGCTCAAAACTAGATAGAAAACTAGTTCCATTGAAATTTGATCAATAATGCTTCGGAACAGAGTTGAGAATAAATAAGTTTTTATGTTTTCTTCAACTTTGCATTAAAGCCAATCTCTAAACGCTACAGTTTTACCGCTCTTGCAGTCTCAATGCAGTAAGAAGACAAGATGATCCAAGTGAACGACTGCCGCTTTGAAAAGATCGTCAGAAAAACTTTGAAAACCAGCGGTTTGGACTTTAAAGGCTTTGTGCAAATTGTTCAAAAGGTAATAATAGCTCTTCATGAATTACAAAAAGTATTGGTAACACTTTATTTGAAGGGGTGTGCATAAGACTGACATGACACTGTTAAAAACATTATATGACTTCTGTCATGAACATAAAGTCTTTATGAATGTTTATGACTGTTGTCACGAAGTGTCATTCGCTAAATAATGCTCTAAAAGTTGCATTGAAAGTCCATTAAAAATGCCAACTTTGCATTAAATTATCATAATTTACAAAATCATGCTAATTTCGCACTTTTAATGGACTTTTAATACAACTTTTACAGCAACTTTGCATTAAAAGTGTCATTATTTACCGAATGACACTTCATGACAACTAACATTCATAAAGATTTCTTTATGTTCATGACAGGTGTTATGTCATGTTTATGACAGTGTCATGTCAGATTTAAGCACACCCCTTCAAATAAAGTGTTATGAAAGTATTTTCCATGCATTTAAATAGTAAATCAGGACTTCTTATCATGTTAATGTTCCAACATGAGTGAGCACCTCTGATCTCAACCCAAATAAATGGCCAGGAGTTTTCATCCCACATCAGTGTCTGATCTCAAAAATTCTTTAACCAGATAATATGTCATTGTTTTTTGTCCCCACAGAAGTTTTATGTCCCTTCAAATGAGACATTTGTGTTGACAACAACTGACAGAATAATAGTGGATGCTGATAAATTTGGTAAGTAAACCTGTTCATGTTTATGAAACAGAGGAAAACTCTGAAACGGAGAACATAGAATATTATTCTTTCACTCATTTCAGATAAACTGAAAGATGGCACCACCCTCTATCTGCTACGAAAAACAAACCAAGTCCTGCCAGCTTCAATCGAGGAAGAGATTAACTTCATTCCTCACTACAGCACAATGACTGAAAGTGGGACAGATGAGTACTTTATCGAGGGCCAAAAGTCATTGTGTGGGTATTAATGTAATCAAAGTGATGCTCATAATTTGGGAACAGAAATGCAGCTTATTACCTTAAGCTTTTGGTGTCTTTGTGTCATTTTTTTCAGCCTGCGCTCTTGCTCAGCTGGTGGACAATGCTCTTTCAGCCACAGCAAAAATCACTGGAGTCAGGAGTATAGAGATAAGGCTGGTTGGTTCTG